GCATAGGCAAGATAAAATCTGCCATTCGGCATGCCGTTCAAATTGATATTGCCTTTCTTTTGAATTCCTTTGAAACAATGACTGAATTCAGTATTTTAAAATCTATCACGTCCTATCAACCCGAAAGGCTTGTGGAAATGTTCCAAGTCATATTGATCTCGCTGACTCCCTTTTTCATAAACCGCAACGTGTAGGCTTGCTGCTTGGGGCTGACGCTTTCTTCGATCTTCTTAAAGATGGGGTTCTGAGGTGTAAACAAAAGTCTTTGACTTTAAGTGAAACAGTTTTTGGCTGGATCGCGTCTGATAGTTGTAAGGCCCCACCAGATGCAAATGCGTGCTCAACGTCGTTATTAAGTACAACTGGTAAATCGTCGTTAGACTCAATTGTTAAAAAGTTCTGAGAGTTAGAGCAAGCTCCAAATACTTCGAATCAAAATGTATACCTCCCAGAACAGCTACTTTGCGAGCAATCGTTCACTGAATCTGTGAACAGATTACCTTCGGGTAGGCTAAGTGTTGAATTGCCATTTGAATCTAGTCAGACTTGTCTTGGCTCGTCCTTTGAGACAGCTAAGAGGCGATTTCTCGGCTTCGAGAGGCGAATGGGATTATTCTTTCCAATTGTTACTCGTGCGAAAATTCTTATCCAAGAAATCTGGCTGCATTAGTTAGATTGGAATGAAACATTGCCCACAGATTTAATTGAACAAATAAAATCGGTGACTAATTGCTTCTCAAATCTAGACTCACTCAACATACCTCGTCATATTGGAATTAGAGAAAAAAGGAAATACCAAGTTCACGGATTCGCCGATGCGCCAAAAAGAGCGTACGGCTGCTGCATTTATGTCAGAGTGGAGCATCAGAAAGGAACATTTACACGATTGCTCACAGCAAAGTCGAGAGTGACACCTCTCTAAACTAAGTCTGTGCCTCGGTTGGAACTCTGTGCTGCTCACTTACTGGCGAAGTTATGGAATGAAATCAGGGAACTGTTGAACTCCCCAGTGGACGACGTTTTCTTTGTGGTCGTTCGCCGCAAGCGCCGCATTTCGGTGGCCTCTGGGAGGCGGGCGTGAAATCGGCCAAAGGATTAATGATCAAGGCCGTGGGCAGTGCAGTGTTCCGGCAGGACGAACTGAGGTAGAAGCCATCATAAATTCGAGGACCATGGTCGTGGTCAGCTCCAACCCAAAAAAATGGCGAAGCAGTAACCCCAGCTCCTTTGTTGGTCGGGACAACGCTCGTTGTCGTGTCAAGTCCACCAGTAACAGAAGACAAACTGAGCTACATAAAGAGATGGCAACTGATATCCGCCGTCAAGCAACGGTTTTGGGTGGATTAGGTCCTGAGCCTGCAGCAGCGGCAGAAGTGGCTAAGCGAGAGCCACAACATCGAAAATTGAAATATCGTCGTGGTCCACGAAGACAACAGTCCGCCTCAGCAGTGGCTATTAGAAGTCATCAAAGGCGAGGATGGAAAGGTTCGAGTGGCAGTCGTCAGAACTAAGTCTGGCGTTTTTAAGCGTTCTATTTGTCAATTAGCTCCTTTGCCTATTGAGGAATCTTGAAGTCTTGCAGCCGTTCAACGCGGCCGATATTTAGACATTTCATTTCATTTTAGAGTTTAGATTTATATATATGACAAATACTCTTATATTAAGCTGTTGCATCCATAAGCGTTTTTGTGGTGACATGAAACTAGGATCTGGGCGGTGTGAAAAAAGGGGCGTGCAAAAATCTGTACCGATTAAAAAGAGTGTTCTCCGTTTCGCTATTTCATTCGTACTGATCTGTTTATTGTGATGCGCAAAGTGCAGCTTCTGTAACATGACTATCGTAACATAATAAATACCAGAAAGTTAACAGTCTCTGATATGTACAAGAAAATACTTAGGGAATAACAAAGTTTGACCGAACATCCCGGCACCCTTGAAAGGATCCACTTTCAAAATTTTCAGTCCTTCAGGTCAGATGTAGGGATTAATGCCAACTTGTGTATTGGTCGAGAGCAGTAGCCATTGGGTGTTCTAACATGAGGAACTCTGACGAGACCGTCTCTCCCAACTACTACGGAGTCAATACGGCCGAGTTTCCAATGCTGCGTTTCCATGCTGCCGATTTCGCTAAAATCCAGCACTTCAAGCTTGTCATGGACCTGGATAAATATCACCTTGTTCTCGTCCAGACGTTGAACACAAATTTGCAATTCTTCCTCCGTCATTTCCTGAAGCTTCTCGATGGTCAGGGTCGTCGCAAACGCGTTAGCTTTAGAAAGCATTGGACTGGAGCAGAAAGCGTTGTGTCCGCTGACATGTTGATTTATTTGGATTTTATTATTTCGGAAAACTATCACTTACAAATTGATCAAGTTCCACTGTGCACTGATTGCGCCAAAATTATGCGTCTATTTGAATATACACTGACGAGCAAAACTGTAATTCGATTTCATTGTTTCAACTTCAAAGGTCTGTAACTTTTTTTCTAATGCACGGATTTTGAAGATCTTAGTCTGGTTTTTGTACAACTATTAAGTAAAATTCAAAGCCATTTGATATCAGTTGAAGAAAATGACGCGCCAAAATGAAAAAAAGTCAAATGTTACAGTTTTGCACTCTGGTTATTTTTTTAAGAAATATTTTTATTAATGATTTTTTTATAGTGAGTTCACATCCCCTTGAACTTTTTTAGCTCTTTTATGCGTCTGGGCATATTTTGGGTATACCGTCGTGTCCTAGCCTTTGGAAGATTTTCTTGTAAAATGGATAGATATTGCTCCTTTCGCATTATTCCATCGATTAGTAACAAGGAACCAACTCCATTTAAATTAATGCACCCCCAAACCATGATGGAACCGCCACCGTGCTTGATAGCGAATTGGGATACTGTAAGTCATTGCTACCAGTGTCTTAAAAAGTAAACAATTCCAAAATACTTGTGTTTTCAAGGTTATATGGTCGGATGAAACAAAAATTAATCGCTTCGAGTCAGATGGGCGCTCTTGGTATTGGACTAGAGATCCCGCGATCCAGTCACCAAGGAGTGAGTGACAAACCGCTAGCGGTTTGTGAAGGCGCTTGACAAAAGTGGCGATTGTTTTCACGCAAGTTTCCAGGATTAAGTACAGAAAAATTAAAAGCTAGTATTTTTGATGGGCCACAGATTAGGCAACTCGTGAAAGATCCTAATTTTGTCAAATCAATGACTGAAGTCGAATCTAAAGCTTGGAAGTCATTCGTTTTGGTTATGAGTAATTTCCTAGGCAAAAAGAAATCTGACAACCACGTCGAGCTTGTTGAGTCCATGCTATCGAACTTGAAAGAGTTAGGGTGCATTAAAAAATACACTTCCTGCACTCACCGATTTCCACAAAATCTAGGTGATTTTAGTGAGGAGCAGGGTGAAAGATTCCATCAGGATCTTCGAACTCACCGATTTCCACAAAATCTATGTGATTTTAGTGAGGAGCAGGGTGAAAGATTCCATCAGGATCTTCGAACAATGGAAGAGCGGTATCAGGGGCGGTGGGACTCACATATGATGGCAGACTACTGCTGGAGTTTGCAACGTGATCTACCTAAAGTCGTCCATTCAAGAAAATCGTATAAAAGATCATTTGATAGTGTTCAATAGAAATTTTGTTAACATCATTTATTAATTTTCTGTACTTTTTTATCAAAATAATAAAACTCTATATTTCAAAAACTGAAGCTGTTAGCAATCTTCCAGTATTTTGTTCATACTCAGGGCCATAGAAATACCCAATGACAGATAAAAAATAAAGGAAACAAGACTTGTGTTGACCAGTGTAATTGAATTTCAGATTAAATTTTATCAAAATCGGATAACTCTATCCGATTTTTGAAATATAAAGGTTTTCTAACGACTCTTGAATAACGAATTAAATTTTATCAAAATCATATAGCTGCCATATGAACAATAGTCGAAAATGTGGAAAATTAATAGAAAAATCGTCATATCTTCGATGTTGTTTAGCCTTTATGTATTTTGTTCAACATATTTGATGACTGCAAGGGTATATAAGCTTCGGATGGCCAAAGCTATCTTCTTTTCTTGTTTCTTTTTAAGAACGTTAGTTTCGCCCTTTAGTTTTTCCAATTCACCTTCGCATCTCATTATTGGTCTCTGTTAAACAGAGTAGTACTGTAGCAATAAGGCGATAGTGATACCTTGTTCTTGCTACTATGCTTATTTGTTTCTTACTCGGACAAACAGGTTCGCTCATCAGCACTACCTCAGCTAGTTGTTCCCCTCCGCACCGCCAAGGTTGCCGCTTTGATGATGCTGATAAGGATTCAGTTAGGAGTTTTATCCGAAAAACATTAAACTTAGGGTTGTCATCTGCAAGATGAAGTCTCGATCCTTTCTGTAGCATCAGTGCAAGATAGCCGTATACCATCAACTGCCTGCTTATTTACCTGTATCCTGAAGAGGTCTTTCGTGTTTATATCCGCTTTAGGCAACATTAAAACAATTTATTATGCTGGATAGGGGCTTATTTCGCTTTGCTCTCGTATACTCCGCTGCTCGCCTTTGACGACTATCTGGTCGGCGCATCTGCTCCGCGTCTACTACTCTGCCAAGTCCTCGGTATGCTGGCTAATCTAATTAGCCCTTTTCAGATTTCCGGATAGTCCACACCTGTACATTAAAGTGGACGACGCCCGCTTGCCTTCACGCACAGCTCCACTCAGGGATTCTTCCAATATTCCGTTCTTCATGCTTGTAGCCTTGTCCTACACCTGACCTAGCTAAATCCTAGCTCAATGCTAATCTCCGTGTTAGTAGACTTGTTCGTCGTTGTTCCGCGTTTTCTAGTCGCATCGCGTGATCGCGGTCAAGGTCCAACGAAATCCCGTTTATTCACGGAGCATCCTCTTGGTGCGGATCTAAAGCCCGCCAATTTTTTTGTCTTAATAACGTAGTTTCTCCGCTTTTTACAGATCATTTTCATTTTCACAAAAAATTTTTGTTTCAGATTGACGACTCCCCAAAACCACGAAAGAACAATGCCGGTGCTTCCAAAGGACACAATATTAGCCGATTTATTGCGTCAATCTGACCTTATTTATAAGTACCATGAGCATGACAGTCTGTTAGAAAATAAAGTGGAGCAAGAATTAAGTGAGCAAGAGAAAGCAGATGCTTGGGATACATATGAAATGGACTTAAACATACGTTGTGGTAACTATTCGATATTAAGGGTCATAAGTAGTGTGACATTTCAAAAAAATCTTTTTTTTCTTTTTATATTTCGGTAGATTACACCTTTAAAAATAAAATATTAAAATTTCAAATAATACCATCATTTTATCTTTAAACGCGTTTTTCTGAAAACAGCATTTTCCGAATTTGCTGCAGTGATTACTCAAAAACTAATGATCCGATCATTATCAAAATTTTTTTGCATGTTCTATATATAGATCTCCCTACAATGATCTTTCGATTTTTTGATCTGATCGAAAATTGGCAGACCAAAAACGACCAAAATTAATTTAAAAAATTCGATTTTTGTCAATTCTTGATATTTTTTATCGAGGTTATTGTATAGACAATATTATCTAGTTAAACCAGAATTTTTTTTTTAGTTTCATCCACGGAGAAGGCCGGAATCACTGCAGCAGTTAAGGTCCTTTTTTTTTTTAGCTCCTTTGGAGATCAGCTCTAACTTAAAAAATTTATAATTTTTTTCTATAAAAATTTCACTGTAGGTATATTCTCAAAACTATATAAATAATACTGTGAAAATTTTGAAATACAGTCGACTCTCGTTAATTCGAAACTCGAGGGACTCTTGAAATATTTCGAATTATCGAGTGTTTGAAATATCAAATGGTTCGAAATTTGCGAGAGAAAATAAATAAAACTTCGAATTATTAAGTGTTTCTTAATTTTTATTTATTAATATAAAAATGATAAGAATTAAGAGGTACATTCGTGTACGTACATGTATTTGTAATGTGAATTAATTTATCTTTCGAAAGAACTTTGTTATACTGGTACAATTCTGCTACTCACACTGCTCAATAACTTTTTTTTAAAGAGAAAAAGTGCCTGAAATGCTTTTTCATCACTTTCGTTTTGTTGACATAAGCTTTATAAGGTATCAAATGAGGATCTTGCTTCTTTAACTGACACCTCTGCCAAAGGTTCTTTATATTTTCTAGGGCTCATAGCTAACACTAACTTTTAATATGCATACCAACGAAAGAGTAACAGCAACTGAATAAGTACACAAACCAATTCGAAAGAAGTGTGTGCGTCAAATGGTCAAACTACATAATCAAAACAAAAACAAAGGCAAGTTTGAACTTGTCCCAAAATTTCCGCCTTTTTTCTCTGCAACTTTGAATTGTCGAGTGTTAGACGCTGATGACTTCGAATTAACGCGTGGTTTTGTTAAATATCAATGATTTTTTCGTTCGAATTACCAAGTGTATGAAAATGTATTGATTTAGTTCGAAATATAAAGAGATTTCGTAGGGACCTCGTGATAACTTTGAATTATAGAGAGGTTCGAATTATCGCAGGTTTGATTTAACGAGAGTCGACTGTAATTGTTGAAGTAGTTTTTTTTAATAAAAATTCACAAAAATCACATTTTTTTTTGGCCGTCACACTAGTTATGCCCCTTAACCATTTGAAATTATGTTTACCTATTCAATGCCTTACAGACCAACAGAAAGAGTTGGAAACTGAAAAGTACGTATATTATTTTAGCGGCATCAAAGTACTTTGATAAATAAAAATATTTTCTAGGGCTCAACAGATTGTACCAGATCCTCGATTGACATCGTATTTCGAAACCCTGCCAAATGTACGTATAAACTTATAGTACTTAAGCTTTTTATAACAATTTTGTTAATTATAAAACCTGACCAAAACCTTATTAAAAATTTTTGCAGTACCGTAAATCTTTTTTTTTAATAAATAAATCGAAAAATTGTATTTAGATAAGTTTTAATTATGTTAAAAATGTAAGTCAGCACGGAAAAAATATATCATACATCTGGTTAAAGTAGGTGAAGACTATCATCAGGTATGGCCCGACCACTATTTGCTTCTCGCTTTTTCTCCTATCTCGGCAATAAAATATATAGCCCATTATCTTCGATGATCCTAAATACCCTGCTATGGCTAACATATACTATTTCAGCAAGAATTGCGGATATACTTTGGTATTATTTTTTTTTTAAGTTTTATAAGAGGGAATCCTGGTTAAAGAAAATAACAAAAAAAAAAAAAACATATTTCATTTCCCAGTTCGATCTTTTCACGCATTTTCAATATTTTAATTTTTATTTTAATATGAATGTCAAACTTGTTCTATTACATTTTTAAAATTTGTTTCTTTCTTACTTGGTATTTTATAATGGTATACATACCAAATGGCCTTGGACGGATTTTTTAGGCCTGTTACAAGATCCAATTTTTTTTTTTTCATGTTTGGAAATGGCTTTAACTCGTCGGCAATTGTCGTGGTGTTCTAGAGAGGCTGCAGCTTATGGGTGCTCATCTAAATCTTTCACAATTAAATTTTCTTGCGTGCAAAAATAAATCAACGAGCCAATATCGGCCGGATATAAAGATAGCATGACAAACGGACAGACAGAAAAGAATAGAATTTCTCTCAACACACGCCACATGATGTATGCGGGCGCAATATTGGCCCTCCCTTTCTTGGCCATGCCAATATTCCGATTATAATCTGCATTAGAAAGAGCAACTAAATATAAAAGCTAAAGACAATGTAATCTATAAAAATTCTTGTTGGCTATGCAAGCTTGTATGATTTCATAAAGTATAATAATATGGTTAACCTACAAGATACATTTTATAAATCATTAAGAACAAAATTTAATTTAATTTTTTTTATAAATTCAGTATAATTATGAATATTTGGTTTTATCGTTTTTCTTCAAGATTTATTTTAAATTTCAAATTTTATTCAGATTGACATCTATAAGTTAGCGCTCTAATTTTAATTAATAATTTTTTTTTTATGTTTGTTTATGTTTCTATTTTTTTTAATCAAAAAGTGTCATAAACTTTTTTAAAATTTGAAATCTTTGCAGCTTACAATAATAATAATAATAATAGGTATATAATAGAATTTTCTTAACCTGACTTATTTATTTTCCAAACTTAAGTGATTTTATTTGATATATATTGTATTAGAATATATTTATATATACATATACATATATATCTTCTTAATATATATATATATATATTTATATATTTCACTAGAAATCTTTGCAGCTTACAATAATTAAAATTAGAATTTTCTTATATTCACGTTTTTGCATTTAATCAACAATGTTTTTAACCTAACTTATTTATTTTCCAAACTTACATAAGTGATTTTATTTGATATATATTAGGTTGTCAAAAAAGTCTTGTTCTTGTTTTATTCGTCGCATCATGTCATGCTATACCTTTTTGGAAAGCTCATTTCACGCGCTAACACGTGTTTGATTTTCTTTTCTTTTAAGTCGTTCGTTAGTTATAGCGTCGCAATCATGGAACAAAATAAACAGAAAATACGCCATATTTTACAGTACTACTACGATAAAGACAAAAATGCATCTCAAGCCGCCAATAAAATTTGTGCAGTTTATGGACCCGATACAGTTTCCATTTCCACCGCACAACGATGGTTTCAACGTTTTCGTTCTGGTGTAGAGGTGGTCGAAGATGCGCCACGCTCCGAAAGGCCTGTCGTCGAAAATTGCGATAAAATCGCTGAATTGGTCGAAAGAGACCGGCATAGTAGCAGCCGTAGCATCGGTCAAGAGCTGAGCATGAGTCATCAAACCGTTATTTACCATTTGAAGAAGCTTGGAGTCACTAAGAAGCTTTATGTATGGGTGCCACACGACTTGACGCAAAAAAAACATTTTTGACCATATGGATGCATGCGAATCGCTACTGAGCCGCAACAAAATCGACCCGTTCTTGAAGCGGATGGTGACTGGCGATGAAAAGTGGGTCACTTACGATAACGTAAGGTGCAAACGGTCGTGGTCGAAAAGCGGTGAAGCGGCCCAGACGGTGGCCAAGCCTGGATTGACGGTCAGGAAGGTTCTTCTGTGTATTTGGTGGGATTGGTAGGGAATAATCCACTATGAGCTGCTCCCCTATGGCCAAACGCTCAATTCGGACCTGTACTGCGAACAACTGGACCGCTTTTTATTTAGCAATTTCGGGGTCTTTTAGTTCAAATGATCTCTCACGCTGGCGTCTGCTGAGCCACAACGACAATTTTGCACTCTACTGCTATAGTTATCTCGGACCACTATATTTTACTTAAACTTGCATCCTGATTAACACATATTAACGGGTATACAAGTTCCGACAGCAAGAAAAAAAGGAAAAGAAAACACTTCTATTTATGGTATTCGGCCACCTAAAGCATTCATTGCCTGGTTTCTGGCGAAGATAAGCGTCGAGTAGGGCACCCGACAGGAAATAGCGGGTGAACATTATTTTCGGTTCTTCCTTCTATGCGCCGAAAAAATTGATTGAAGATACTGCTTGAAGACAGTGGACTGAACTGCCCCATTTTCGGGGCAGCAGTAATTGCTGATGTATCGTTATTTCCGCCTCCGCGCAGGGAATACTTAAAATTTCGAGAGTAGCTATTCGGGTACTAAATGGGGATTAATAGTCAAAAATCTGGTTAAAATCCCTTGTTCACTTACACTTGCAATGGACTTGCGGCTGCGTTTTGCTAACTACTGCACGCCGACGGGTGAAGACGCGCTCCAGCCGGACCTTGATCGGACACAACCATAACTTTTTGCTTCATATAAAAACCACTGGCACTATACACATCCGTTCACGCCGAGCTTAAGAATTTGAAAAGGAAGCATGAGATTTCTCAGATGTGGATATTACCGATTTAGTGCTGCTGGGGTTAGCCAAAATGACGGTAGCGTAAATGCAGCCGTACCTAATATCGATTAAACCTCACTGTCACTTTTGCCAACTAAAACCGGTATCCCAACCAACATTATCGAAAATGCGTTTTACATATCGTAGATACATCTCACGCCCACGGTTGCCAATTAATACCACTGTCACAACCAACACGTATATTACCGCAAATGCAGTTGTACCTAACATAGATTACATCTTACGACAACTAATACCATTATTGTCCTCAAGGTGGCGCAGGGAAGCTTGTGATTGTGGCAACGTCATATGGTTGCAGCGCCATTTAAAGCCTGGCAACCTCGATGGGAGAAAGGAGAGGTGCCATGGACTTGGCTTAACGGACTGAGAAGAGCAAGAAGCTAGACATAGAAAGCGAGTATTATTAATTATCTAAGTTACATGTATTCGTTTTCCTAATAATCTTTAATGGCAAACATACTTCGCCATAGTGGTGGATCACCACAAATGAAAATATCAAAACCCTGCTCATCGTGCGAAATTGACTTTTTTTCGTGAAATTCCCAACACACACACATGCACTTTTACAATCAGAAATCGCGCATTTAATGAAAAGATGCCAATACGATTTATCTATACTTATATTATAAAGAGGTAAAATTTGTTTGTTTGTTTGATTGCAGCGAATGGGCTCCGGAACTACTGGTCCGATTTAAACAATTCTTTCACCGATAGAAAGCTACATTATCGTGGAGTAAAGTAGGCTATAATTTATTTTGAAAAAAATTAGGGATCCGTAAGAAAATTGCAATATTGTCGCATATAAAGTGAGTTGCTACCTCATCACACTGACAAACGCGCTACCATAGCATTTTAACTCAATTTTTGTGGTTTTCATTTATCATTTCCAAGTGAATTAAGTTTTTTCACATATTATGCAAACCTTTGTATTCTCTGCTCAGTTAATTTCATGGACAATCGGGTATTGTGTTCACTGTGAAATTGTGAAAAAAAAGAATTTTTATTTAATTTAAGTTGAACTGTAAAAATTATGTGGATCGTGCATTTGAGGATAAATTCACGACTCTGTCCATAATCTAAAATGCTTAGAGAACGACGTGCAAACATTGGCCGCAGACATCCAAACCAGCAACAAGTATATTTATAAAACTTAAGCGAAGAAAGACAAATGAGCACATGAAGATCATTGGCATCATTCAATCGCTTGGCATTCCAATATGACCCCACTGCGAACTACAGTGATAATGAAAATTTAGATATTGGACCAATGGCGACAATATACCGATATTGCAGTGCGTTAAAGTTTAAAAGAGAAACGGCTGGATTGTGCTGCGCAAGTGGAAAAGTCAAACTGGAAAAGTGTTAAATCACCATCTTTCTATACTTCCATATATTTGAAAAATGTTGCAACATTGACTATTATGTTGTTTAATTGTGTTGACCAGCGAAGCGGACACAGGACCTCTAGTGAAATATAAAATGAAGACGCCTTAATTTCGACGAAGAAAGCGTTCCAACCGATTTATCATCATTCATCATGACGGATCCCAATAATGATTTAACTGTATAAATCCGAGATCTGCAGCAGAAACTTGAGGCACTTCGTACAATTGTCATTGGTAACCGAGATGAGACTACTCGCACACACACACACATCTAAGGATGTAGTTTTGGCTCTGGAAGACATAGTCAGTCGACCCCCTGACGAGAATAAGTATGCTGAGTCTTCAGAGTCGAAACTACGCCGACTTCTTCAGGGTGAGGGGACATCTGGTTTGAAACCATCTGAAATCATGGCCAACATGCGACGACTACCTTGCCAAGATCGCAGACAAAATGCTCGAAGCAGCATACCACGAACGCTGGTTAGACAAAAAAACACACTCTAAGCGATTCTAT